AAGTGAATTTGAAATGTAATTAATTAAGAAGTTATTTAGTCTATATTTAGCAAACATATACTTTTTGTTGTATTAATTACTAGTATTATATACGAGTAAATGTAGTAGAAAAAGTTGAAAACAGCTTTAAGATTCTAACTCGAGAATATTTTCACTTGAACTTAAATTTCTAGTTTGATCTATTTAGGTCTATTTTGATTTGAACTGCCTTGTTTGGGAACTGTGATATTGTATGTAATTTATTATTATTTGAGTCTCATCCGATCTGTTTAGTTTAGCTCTGGTATGATATATGGCAACTTTAAATTTGGTTTGATGTGATGTGAGATCGAAATTAATCAACGTGAAATGTCAAACCATCCTTAAAGTGCTTCTAATTTGTATTGAACTTAGTCGGATACACTAATTTTCAAGCAACACTTTTTAAGTAAAATGGAGAAAAAAATTGCTTAGTTATTGAAAACAAGTAGTAAATTAAACAATTGTAAAGTATATTTTGCAAAAGTGAAAATCGACATAGACAAAAATTGATAAAAAAAAATACTAGTATTTGAGAAACCCATGTGATCAAAATTGTACATGATGGTGTACGGAACAAGTTATTGGCTCAAGAGTCAACTCTTACTTAGAGGGTCAATTCAGTCAACAACCAATAAGGATGTTTTTATTTGAACTGTAATTTGCCCCAGACCAGACCAGACCAGTTCAGACCAGACTTGGATAGTTATAAAAATACAAAGAAACCAGACCTTACCAGACCAGACCAGTTCAGACCAGACCAGATCAGACCAGACCAGCAAATTACAGTCCAAGACTCCAAGTAAAAACATCCTAAGTTCGATCAATATTTTCTAAAAAATAAAATGCAAAATATGTATAATTATATATGGGATTAAAAGTGTAGAAGAAAAAATATATTCACATTTCTAATTTCTAATTTACTAGTCATAGTGCATAAGTTTTTTTTTTTATAAAATGTATAATTATATTTTTACTTATATTTGGAATGATGTGTACTAATAAGAATAACATATGTTATTATTATGATTGTTTTTAAGTAATAATTAACAATAAAAGTTTTAAACTCAAAATGGTACTCCTTCTGTCCCTAAATTTACTTCCAACTTTCCCTATTCATCCGTCCATAAAAGAACTTCACTTTCCCTTTTCGACAAAGAATTTGTGGTTCACAGAATTTTTCTCTCCTCTGCACAACTCTCCACCACACAATTCTCACTTTCTTAATCCGCGTGCCACTTTACATTGGAAGAACATTTAGGGACGAAGATAGTATAATACGTAGTATCATATAAAGGAATCATATCATTTAAACAACAAATAAAACAAACATCCCTAAGTCGCAACTTGGAACAATGTGTGGGAGAGTACTTGTGAGACTGTGAGATAGGACTTTGAATGCCATCTTGAGTTGAATTTTCTCAAATTGGGCTAGGAGACCCTGACGTTGTTCGGAGTTAGAAACTTCATGCATAAATGTTCCTTCAATATTAAGGCAAGCCTACCCATGATAATACTAGCTACGTATATATTATGTGGGCAACTTAGTCAGGCGTACAACAATGAACTCAATGTTTAAACTGACCACGTACAAAATACTAGGAACCTATTATCACAAAAAGAGTTAGGCTTCCCCAAGCTAGATTCAATAATTTATTTTTTCTCAATTCCTAACTTCCAACTTGAGAATGAGACCCAAACTGTTTAAGTAAGTTGAGACCAGAACCAAATCAGATATACCCGATTACACTCACAATACAGTTCCACCCATTATATGAATCAAAAGGGTTTCATTTTGAATTAGAAACAAATAGGAAACGAACTGGGTCTAAATTCTAAACCTACCATCCGTGTCTATGTAAACTCTACAGGTTGGATTTGAGCTCGACTAGATGTCGTCAAATAGTTTTCTATGGACTTTATATAAGAGAAAAGAACAATTACTAGTAGTATTTCGCTTTTATTCTCGTTCAATAGGGAGGGATCTAGGAACTTGTGTTAGGTTGTGGCGAAAGGGACATCTATCTTAATATAATAAGAAAATCTTGCAGAGCAAGTTCCCGCCCAAAGGTAGTAGCTTCTAGAATTGTGATGCCACTATTACAAGAATATATACTTCGTAGCTTTTTAATTATGAATCCGTAAAGAGAATTCTAGAGAAGATTTTTGATTGGCTATTATGGTTGAGCAAACGGCTGATGTTTGGTTTCCCCAAGCAAGCATTTAATTCAAGTCTCCTCTACGTTCACATTTCGTTGTTCGTGTACCTGTATATAAACAAATCGAACGTGAGCAAACAAGAGCAAAAAAAAGCATGACCGGCATCTGGAGTTTTATTAGAGCAATTCGAGTGTTTAGTGTCCCACCTTCCCTGGAAATGCACATGTCAGACGTATAGTTATCAAATGTCAATTGGGTAATCTTGGTGTTCATATTTATTTTTCAAAACAAGTATTGCTGATAAATACTCACATTTTCGTAAGTATGGTTTAACCCTGACTCTAAAGAAAAGAAAAAACAGCTGAACCCTGACTCTAAAGAAAAGAAAAAACAGCTTAGTTTAAACATAAACGGACGTTTATAAAAATTTAAACTTTTTGCAATTCAATTTAAGCTTCACCTGAGAAATATGGAGTGTTTGTCCCTCCTAATTGCTTGACCCTGTTGCTGTGAGGAAAAAAGGCTTAAATTAAAGATAAACGGTGTAGAATGGAAATTTACACTCTTCGAATTCAATTTAAGCTTCACCTGAGAAATATGGAGTGTTCGTCCCTCCTGTTGCAGCATCGGTGAGGAAACGATGATAAATCGATATTGGAACGAAATGCAACCGATTTATAATCCGCGAGGCAATCAGTGGTTTATATGGATAGATGTAGGAACAAGAGCAACCGGCAAAGGAGACTAAGGTTTACAGGAGCATGTGTTTTTCAGGCGGCTGAATTGGTATCCATGGGATTGAGATCTAGGTTATTCATTTAACTGTATATGAGGTCGGTGGTATAGTCGGTTATCTAAGAATAGTGTATGTGGGCTTACAAATGAATGGTCTTACTTGGTTATCTAAAAAAAGGATGACACCCCATCCCTAAGGGCCCCCCAACACCGACCGGACGACACGATGGGAGGATGTAAATTGGACTATAATCACAATCTGACAGATAGAGAGTGGGGCTCTGTCCCCGGTACTTGCAGAAGCCCTATGCATTTTTCAGCATAGTAACCCCTCATCGCAGTTGCCGGGATTCGAACCCGAGACCTAACCCTTGTGGCACTCCCTCGCTACCAGTTTCGCTACGCCCACCGGTTCTTACTTGGTTATCTAAAGAATAGTTTATGTGGGTTTAAAAATGAATGTAGATAAAATTCCTTTTACTTCCATTCATAAATACTATCGGTAAGTGCTAACAACAGTTCACTTTTGTCAATGTTACTTCTACCATTAATTCTGCATATAAGTAAAAAAAAATATAAAAAAAGCAAATTTTTAAAATTTACAATGTGACAAAGTTAATACTACCTCCGTCCCGCTAGAAGGTTCCCATAGCAAAACGGCACGGTTATTTAGGTGATAATTAAATAAAGTACTTCGGGTATATTTTGAGAAATAATTTTAATAGGTATATATTATAATGTGTTAGTATTGATAATTGTAATGTTATAAATGTATTATTTTTAATATTTAATGACTAATTTGTCACTTAAGATTATTAATTGTTTCCTAAAATGGAAATGAGAACCTTCTAATGGGACATCCAAAAAGGGAAAGTGAGAACCTTCTAACGGGACAGAGGGAGTAATATTTTTTAGGAATAGTTTTTTAATACATTAACAAATGCTACCTCTGTCACTCAAAATTTTGCCAAATTTGACCGCCACGGAGAATAATAAAGTAAAAACAGTGTAGTTGAAGTTAGTGCAGAGGAGAGAGAATTAACAGAAACTACAAAATAATTGATTAAAATGAAAAGTGACAAAGTTTTTTGGGATGTTTCAAAAAGGAAAGATGACAATGTCTCAAAGGACATGAGGAGTAATGCGTAGTCAAAGTAGAGAATGTGAATAATATAAAATGAGACAACTCATGTTGTCTATAAAGATTTGTTTCAAAATCTTTAATTTTTTATATCTTATATTTTAAGTTTTGAAACTCTTCAATGTGTATTAATTATAAATTTCAATTTTCCAATGTTTCATTTTTACATTTACATATTAAATTTTGATTTATAACCCTTGGTTTAAATATTTCGGACGTGCATCGCACGGGTGAGAATACTAGTTGGAGTTAAAGCAACCGTGTGAAATAAAGGAAAATGTTTATTCTAAATATTCTAAGAAAAAAAATGAACTGTTCTAATTTCAAACTATTAAAATCTCAGTGTAGATCCACTTCTATTCTTTCATCATCTATAGTCTATACTTTGGATTCATGTAACACTAGATTCATTCTTAAATAAGTGCAACATGTTGAAATTTACATTATCCACATGTTCTACTTTGTCCACACTTTATTTATTAATGTATTAATAAATTATTTTTAAAAATATTGTTAAATTTTTCTCATTGTAAAAATTAAAAATCTATTTTTTTTTTTACTTTTTTACTAATATAGAATTATACTACCTCCGGTTTTTTTTAATCTTCACAGTTTGACTTCACACAAAATAAGGAAAGAAATTTGACTTTACTGTAGAGTACACTGTTTGACACTGTTTGGCACTGTAGAGACACTGTTTGGCACTATTGAGACACTGTTTGGCACTGTTTGGCACTGTTTTGATGTAGATTTCTTTGCCAAAAAAGGAAATAAGGAAGTGTGAAGTTTATTTTAGACCGTCCCAAAAAGGAAAGTGTGAAGTTTATTAAAAACCGGAGGGAGTATATATTAATGGTCAAAGTTGTGCATCGGCAGACATGAAAAATAGATTGTTGCACCTATTTAAGAACGGAGGTAGCAAAGCAGTATCTATGATTACCCCTCCCTCCCACCTTCTCTCCTCTTAATCATTTAGCTCATTTGCCTCGTGTTGCTTTATCTTCATCTCGTTCTTCATCATTACCCCACCTCCATCTATCATCATCTGGTTCTTCTCTTGATCCTCCACTTCACCTCTCCCAACTAAATCCGGGCGAAGAATCGAGATACATAGATGCACAAATAGTTGTAGAAAAGGCCGATTTTAAAATATAGAGGGTCTTCGTTGAGGAGTGAGCACTAGGGAAAGGTGATCAGAGGTGCAAAATTCCTTGATAGCTTTATTTCCATCAGAGCTAGAAAAGAAGAGCAAGAAGGAAGGAGTTCAGGGGATAGATATATTGTGAAGAGGGGTGGACAATTGAAGGTATGCACAAAGAATTAGAAGTAAAATTGAATATAAAGACCAAAGATAATATAGGAAAGATGTTATTTAAATGTTCTCTCCTAAAACACCGTGTCAAAAGTAAGTGCCGAAATTTGGGTGCAATCGTGGGAGTATTATACTAGTAATAGCTTTTGAATATAGAAAATATTCCACTTGAGTGCACATTATTGTAAAACTGCTGATAAACGTATAGTATGCTAAATAAGAAAGGAAAATTTATTTGTATCTGACTAGAACATTAATAAGCTTAAGTATAATGTCTCTATATGAGTAATAGTTGAACTGGAGTGGGGGAAATAGCATTAAAACATGTATCATACACGAAAACACCATTAATTTAGAAATAAACAATGCTTCGTTATATTTTTATGAGTCATACTCCCAATATATGTATAATATTATCCTTGTAGCTTTGTGCCACGAATCATGCATGTACTTTTAATTTAAATAATATAAAGGAATACAATGCAACGGTAGAATTCTACTGGACACCATTGCTTCTGGAATCAAACGCAGACAATCCATTGAAGCATAGAGTGGATGATCGAATTGTTCGGAAAGGTTCCATCGATAAACACGCACAACATTGGAAGGGTGTTGACATTTTGGTGCTTCATACTTATCTTTGGTGGTTTAAAGATGAATACTTCAAGATACTATTGTAAGTCGTCTATTTATTATTTTTTTCTCCAAAGATGAAACACACCTTTTCCTATAAATCTTATAGTTTTAAGTCAGGAAAATATCTAGATAAATTATTTTACTATTTCTAATCCGCCAATATACTAACAAAGTACCATATAAACTTGCTTACTTTTAAAAAATAATCAATCTGTCTATTTTACGAGTTTATGACACATTATAGCAAGTCACTTTTTGAAAGAAAAAATTCACTAAATTGTTAAATTTGAAAAAGAGGAAAGAATTTTAAAACAAAATAATAATAAAAATGAAAATCTATATTTTTGAATTATATGTTCATTTTACATTTTTAAAAGAATTAATTTCAACTCGATATTTATATTTATGATGATTGATTTTTCATTTTCATAAAAGAATTATTTTTATATTTACACTTTTTTTAAATTGACATGACATTTTATTAAACTTATATGATATTAATTTTCATATTTTCCCCAAAAAGTGTGATGCGCTATTGTTCGTCCAAAATCAGTAAAATAGCTATTGTGTTTTTAAAATAAGTGTACCTTATGTAATATTTTTAGTATATATGATCTCAAGAGATAGATTTAAATTATAGCGGATTCTATTTGAACCTTTTGCCTCTTAAATTTTAACAAACTAATTTAAATTTTAATGTAAATCTTTGAACTTTAAAATCAGCTACCCTTTACTAAAGTCTATTGCTCTATTTGGTTTGAGATTTATCTTTAAACTTAAAAATGTGAACAAGGTTAAGAAAATATAGAAGTACCCCCACGAATATGTTAGAATGTTATTTGGATAATATTATCCCAAATTATTCGAGTATTGTGTTGATCTGATTAAAGTATGGCTAGGTGAATATAAACGCTTTCATTCAACTATCAACCTTTGATCCGATTACTTCCAACTTTAGAGGTAAACTAGATGGAGTGAGTGTAAATGGATCTAAGCAAATGATTCTAAGATTAAATAATACATAATATCATGTGATCGAGTAGACCAACTGATTGAACCAATGCGAGAATCAATGTAAACATTAATTGTAACAATTTTATATCAAATGAAATTTCTGGCTGATGGAAAATGTCTAGATAATTATTATGTAAATACCTCATTAGACCGACACAAATAATTATTATATGGTCTTTAGGCTGGGCATATTGGTTTTTGGTTCAATTTTTATCGGTTTCGTTCCGGTTTGGAACGGGTTGGAGGAATTATTACCAAACAAAAACCATACGAGTACTATTTTTCGGTTTGGTTCGGTTCGGTTTGGATTTGTTAATTTTTAATACGGTTTGAAAGAAATAGTACCAAACTCAAACCAAATTGCATACAGTTCGGTTTAGTTCGGTTTGGTATGATTCAGTTTGGTTAAACCAAACCGTTATGCCCACCCCTATATGGACTTTACGGAAGCGTTTGGTAAAACACAATGTAATTATTTTGCGTGTGAAATATAGAAAAATGAAGAATTTCTCTTTTTACGTTGTTAGATTTGATTATTCAATGTAACTTGAGGGGGGTGGTAATTGATAAAATACTTTTCCCGTTAAATTGCGTGTAATTAAAAATTAGGTAACTTGTCTAATGTAGTTTACATGTAAATCATTTTTTTCTCACTGCATGTCACGATTTTGCTTGCGGAATTTTAATGGCCAAACTATCAAACCATCTCTAGCTAGTTTGTTAGCGTGTTTCAAATCGTGTTTATTTCTATTTTCCTTTGTGATAAAAAAACACCTTCATCAAAATTTTCTATTCCATGAACATCTAACTTATATCACTTACTCAGTATCCAATTAAATTAAATGAATCCAGAAAAGGATCATTTGAAGATGAGATGAAAGAGACTACATATATGCTCTCTGAAGATGCTTACCGATTGGGTTTGGGGAGCATGTTGAAATGGGTCAACGAGAACATCGATCCAAAACAAACAAGAGTCTTTTTTACTGGCATGTCACCTACACATGGAATGTAAGTGCATGAAATAATTCTTTATATAAGTAGATTATTGATCGCATCTACTTATTTAAAAAATCCATTGAACTTGAAAGGACAAATCTTTAATGAAACATATTTTAAAAGTTTGCAGCATGTAGGGAAACACACACACACATTCCGTATATCTTAAAAATTGCATCAAATGTGCTTCTTATCTATATAATGTTCTTGTTGATAAGGACACTCATCTTTTCTTATTACCATTACCAATCAATATAATTTGTATTACGTTTCCTAAAATATTATTAAAATAAAATTATAAATAAAAAGTGACTAAAGTTTATGTGTATCGGCTGATTAAAATTGAATACAATCCCAACCATTAGAAGTTACTGGTATGATCGCTATGTATAAGAAGTCACATTTTTTCCACTATCATTGTTTTTGTTATGCAATGTCCATTATTACTATCTTATTTGGTATTATTAGTTTATTCTACTCTATATGTAAACATAATGCCTAACTTAGTCAAAATAATGATTGATTTTTTCACATTCTACATCCACCGAACACATTCTTTGTAATTTTAGAAAGAAAAAACTTGCCGTATAATGTGCACTATGTTATAGACCGCCAAAGATGAAGGCAATCTAATAAGATCACATGTACATTGCTCGGTGTACTTGAACTTTAGGGTATGCACACAAGTTTAGTCATATATATGCACCAATTTTTTTTTAAAGGATTAGATGTTTTTAATTGTGGCTTCTTCATCAACAGGAGTGTTGAATGGGGAGGTGATCGAAATGGCAATTGTTTCAACCAAACAAGTATGATACAAGACCTAAATTACAAAGGACCAAAATCTTGGGAAAAGACGTTACGAGTAATTGACGAGGTTCTTAGTGAGTCCAATGGGGTGGTAATAACATATCTCAACATTACAAAGCTCTCAAATTATAGGAAAGATGGTCACACATCTATTTATAAGAAGCAATGGGGGCCTTTGACTCCAGAGCAACTAGCGAACCCGGTAAGCTACGCTGATTGTATTCATTGGTGTTTGCCCGGAGTTCAAGACACATGGAATGAGTTATTGTTTGCTAAACTTTTTTATCCTTGAAACTCAAGACAGTTGTATTATATTTATGGTGTATATTATTAACAACTTTTTCCTTTTCATATAAATATTTTGGTTTCTAGACATCTTTGTAATGAATGTGAGTTAGTTTGACATGGAGAACATTTTCCACACAAATAGTGTAATTTTATACCTCTAAACATTCAACAACAAGACATTATGCATGTTTTAACATGTGACATCTATATGCTATATTATATAAAAATAAAATTGATAAACACAATCCTGCCTTTTCTCATCACACACATGCATGGTGCACACACATGCATAAATTGACATGGTTCAAATAAGAAATGTTCTTCTCATGAATAGTAAGAATAAAGGTGCCTAGAGTTTATGATCTAATAACTCTATATATGTCAATGTTGCATTAAATTTGATAAAAATACAATGTCATTTTCGTAGTTAAATCAAATTTCCCACCATTGCAAAAAGTGCATCGTTTGAAGGCCATAGTTCATTGTATATAATCAAAAGTGTTTTGCACATATATATTGGTACTCACCCTATATATGTGTGTGTCTATAGTACAATTGAATAAAAATGATGCTTCTTGTAAGAAATATGAAAATCTATTTTGTGATTTACCCTACTGAAGTTTTTGTATCTATTGTAAATTTATTTATGATGACAGATAATCTCCATTTGTTTATGGATACTCTACAAGTTCTTTCATTACTATTACATTTTTGTCATTTTAGAATTATTAAGGCTATGTTTGTGTTTGCTCGTACTTATCAAAAGCGATTTATTTAAGAGATTATTAGAAATGTGATTTTCAGTAAAAGTAGGTAGTGTATGGAAATAGAAGAGATTTTAATTAAAAGAGGAATTTGGAAAATATTTAGCTTTTAGCACGCGACTCATCAAGCTCTGCCGCTCTGTAATCTTCCGCCATCCTTGCTTAGCAAGCATAGCTAAATTAAATTCCCGAATTTTCCGAAACCCCAGCCCCCCTGCTTCCTTGGGGTTACACAAAACATCCCACCTTCACCATATCAGTCCCTTTTGTTCAAATTTAGCTCCCCTCCACCAGAAACCGTTCATCAATTTTTCGATATAATCACATAAATCCTTCGGGAGCAAAAAAACATTCATAGCGTAATTTGGCATAGCTTGGATCACATTCTTAATAGCACTGCCCTTCCTGCTCGGGATAAAAACTTGTTGTTCAAACTTTTAATTCCGCTGAAAATCCGGTCCTTGAGATAACTAAGAATGAGTCTTATTTCTCCCAACTAGAGTTGGCAGTCCCAGATATAAATTATGCCCTCCCCCTCGATCAATTCCAAAAAATTGACAACAATAATCTCTAAAAGGTTCTCCCAGATTCGGACTAAAGGACAAAGAAGACTTATTGAAGTTCGCCATCTGTCCCGAAGCCTGTTCATAATTGTATAAAATATTTTTTATTGCAACACAGCCTGATTCAGTTGCCTTAAAAAATAAAAAGCAATCATCCGCAAATAACAAATGAGAAGCTCTAGGTGCACCCCGACAAACTGCTATCCCATGCACGCTACCCACCTGTTTGGCCCTCCTGAGCAGAGCACTCAACCCTTTTGCCACAAGGATAAGCAAATAAGGTGACAAGGGATCCTCTTGCCGCAATCCTCTTCCCGGCCGAATTGGCCCTAGGTATCCCCTATCAAACCGAACAGAGTAATTTACCGTTGCGACACACGCCATGATGATATTCACCCACCTGTCCGAAAATCCCATCTGAATCATTATCATTTTTAAAAACCCCCAACTAACTCTGTCATACGCTTTGCTCATGTCCAACTTCATAGCAATAAAACCCTCCTTACGAGTACTCTTTCTTTTCAGAAAATGTTGTGTTTCAAAGGCCACTATAATATCATCCACAATAGACCTCCCCGGGATAAACGCACTCTGGTTGTCCCCAACCAGACCTCCCAAGATAACCTTCAGCTTATTTGCAATAACCTCAGAAAATATTTTGTAAACAACATTACACAATGCAATAGGTCTCTAGTCTCCCATAGACCAAGCTTATCTTATTTAGGGATCAATACAATATTGGTAATGTTTAACTCCTCTGGGAGTGACCCCGAAGAAAAAATACATGTGCACAGGCGAACCACATCAGTCCCAATAACGTCCCAGAACTTCTAAAAAAAGCCGGATTCATCCCGTCTGAGCCAGGCGCTTTCTCTTGATGCATATAAAAAATAGTTGCCTTGACCTCCTCCGGGTTAATAGGCTCAAACAATTTATCATTTTGGTGTGTCGAAACCTGAGCTAGGCCATGTATCTCATCCCAAGTGTCCTCGGCTTCCCCTGGCTAAAAAATATTTTCGAAGTATGCCTGCACCATGTCTCCCAGTTTCTTCCTTTCCGTAATCCACGTTCCATCCGAGCCCCATAATCCTTGCAATTTATTTCTTCTTCTTTTTTATTTAACCGCATTGTGGAAAAATTTTATCACCTTCCTTTAACCAAAATTCCTTAGCTCTTTGCTTCCAATACAGATGTTCCTTCTCCATTAAGGATTGAACAACTACTTTGATTCGCATGAATTCCCCCATCCCTCCTGGATCGGTACGTCCCCGCAAATTTACCAACTTCTTCTTACATGTCTGGATATGATGCCGAAATCCTTTCGGTCGACAGCTATCCCATCTCATTAATTCTTTGCCGCAGAATATAATGTGTTCACTAACACACAGATCCCTCCCTGCACTCCAGCTATTGACCACTACCGTCCTACACTTTTCTTCCCGGAGCCACAAGTTTTCGAACTGAAAGACCTTCGGTTTTCTGCCATGCACCGTCGGTTTAACATTGACCGTTAAGGCCATATGGTCGCTAGCCGGTGCCTCTACTGATGTCGCCTGAGCGTCCATAAAACTGTTCCACCAATCATCATTAACCAGGATACGGCCTAACTTTTCCTCCACCCAGTAAGTCTTCCCTTTTCCCCTCTCCCAGGTCCATTGATATCCTTGGAAGGGGAAATCTCGCAACCCGCTACTGATAATCGCCTCTCTGAAACCCCTTAATCTCCATTCTTGGTGAGGAATATTACCCCTCTTTTCGGATTCATATAAAATATCATTAAAGTCTCCTATAATCATCCAAGGCAGAGTATTATCCTACGCCAAATTGCAGAGCATATTCCACGCCTCTCTCCTTCGAACCGTGTCCGGATAGGCATAATAACACGTCAGCCGCCAAAGCGGAGCTCCTGCCTCCAAGCTAACCATGCAGTCCATATAATTCAGGCATGTCGCCCGAACCGTCACTTCAACACCGTCTCTCCAGCCGAGCGCCAGCCCCCCACCGAGACCTTCACAGTCGACACCATCGAACGGACCGAACCCCAGATTCCCCGAAATAGTCTTCGCACGCGAACACTTAGTTTTTGTCTCAAGAAACATATATCGGGGCGATGAGCTTGAACTATGTCCGTCACTCCTTGTATGGTGATGCCATTCGACAAACCTCGACAATTCCAACTAACAAGGCTCATTGGAACGAGAAGAAAAGCCGGCCACCGTGGAACAAACCACCACTGGAAAAAACACACTGGATAAACCTAGGAGACGACCGCTGTTTACAAACCACTCTTAGAGGTTGTTTACTTTTTTTTTATTTAAGTCCTGAATGGATTAAGACGTCTGTCTGCATTAAGATGTCTGTCAGGATTAAGTGACACTGAGATAACAAACTGTTTACTAAGTGAGCTGAATGAGAAGTCTGAATCATGTCAAATGACTAATAACCCCTCCTCTCTAGAACGACAGCTGAATATATATTGTCTGTTTACTTTCCTTGTTCTGAATGATAATTTTAAACACACATATTCATATTAAATCAAATTGTCATAAAAATATTCTAAAATTACAACATCAATAACTAATCAAAGTTAAATAATTCTCAACATCCAACTAATATAGCTAAATTAACCATATGAATTGAAGATTATAAAATCTCCAATTTGAAAAAAGCTGGAAACTATTTACAGCCCATCAACAAGTAAAACAGGGCACACAATTTTGAATAGGTCTTCTTTCCAGTTATTGCTACTTTTTCAGCATTGACCACAACAATAAAAGCACACATATTCACACTAGGAGTATATGTTGCCAGGTTCTTTCCTCAGATATAATTAGCTATTGTCGAAGCCAATTTTCCCAACAATATGTAAGGTTTCAGGGGGTTCAACAACACAGATAAAAATGGTTAAAGACATCAACCGTAAAACCATCTACTTCCACATAATGAGGTAAAATAACACTATGGCCACAAAAAATCTGCAATCACTTGCATTAATTAAAGATAAAATCTGCCTCAAATTGGGGAAAATGGTAAAAAAATAATCAAAATCAACAATCAATGTTTGGAAGATAAAAAAGTCTCTGTGTATACCAACAACAATATAAAAACTCCCAACAATAAATCAACGTGAGAAGAATATGACATCTCCAAATTAAGTTGGGTTTGAGAAATTTTACCATTTTATGGAAACTAGATTGTTTAGAAACTCAACAAGCAGATCGAGAATAAGGACAAAAGAATAGAACAAAAGATGTAATATCAGAGAAAATACTGAGATGAAGAAATTAGGGCTTGAGGTTCTTCTTCGTTGTTTTCGTGAAAGCTTGAAAGATGCTCAGGTAGTCAGGTGACCCGATTCAGGTCGGCCGTCGGCTTCTTTAGCAGGTTTGTAGCTGAGGTTGGTATCCAAGATTGTTGTTGTGTGGCAAGATGTCAGGGATAGAGATGGCATTCAACGCGTCTGAATGGTAAGGACGACTAAATTGAAGCTGAAGAAATAAGTCGTAAATTGACTTAGCGAATAAGTCATGCATTTAATTAAGTCCTAAGTAAACACGAGCATATGACTATATGATTAAGTCAGCCTTTCTATTCAGCTCATTAAGTCCCAAGTAAACGAGCCCTTACTTTACTATTTTTATGCTATATTTAATACAGAGTACTTTAATTAAACAGTGAGCTAAAACCTTTTTTCATTTTCTTCCGAAAAAAAACTTTTTTCATTTACCCCAAAAAAACAGTCTGTATACCGTGCAACCGGAGCATGGTGAGCACCATGCTCCACACCACAAAGCGACGTAGTTTTGATCAATTTAAAAAAAAACGCGTGAAGAGTACACGCGTGAACAGTGCACGCGTGTACAGTGTT